GTAGCAACTTTCTTCTTGAATGCTATTTATCTACGTCATGGAGCCCCTCGTGTCCTTTTGAGCGACCGGGGAAAGGCATTTCGTTCAAGCACGCTCAGTGAAGTTCTTCAAGCATCAAAAACAGTTCATAAAACAACATCTAGCTATCACCCGCAAACCAATGGCTTAACGGAAAGATTTCATCGCACGCTGTGTGACATGCTGTCCATGTATATCCGACCGGACCATCGCAATTGGGATGCCATACTACCCTTTGTCACGTATGCATATAATACGTCAGTTCAACGAACCACAGGCTATTCTCCATTTTTCCTAGTATACGGACGCCAACCGACATCACCACTCGGCGTTTCATTCTTTTCTGTCCCCGTCAACTCTTCACCATTCGTTTGCGACCAGTTTCTGTCCCGCGTTGCTCGATGCCGTCGTCTTGCCCGCGTAAACACCAAGAAGATCGCAAACATCGTTACGATGCCACTCACCGCGTCGTTCTCTACCGCCCTGGCGACAATGTACTTCTGTGGACTCCTGCGCGAACGCCTGGCTTATGCGAAAAGTTTGAGTCACGCTATCTTGGCCCTTACAAAGTTATCGAACAGACCTCACCGGTGAACTACCGTGTCACACCTGTTCATGTTCGCACTGACCAACGCTGCCGCGGGACAGAGATTGTGCACGTTTCGCGTCTCAAGCCCTATTGTATGCGTTCCACAGCGTAATTCGCGGCCAGGCTGGCCGCTTCCGTCGACGGGGGAAATTAGTGTGAGAATTCATTGTACGTCATCTTCCTCATCTATCAATAACCATCATCAGTCTTCGGCCCGTTCCTCTTCATGATCGGCGCCATTTTGCTGTTGCTTCAATAAAGCGTCAGCTGCACCGTTGTATTTCAATATATATATATATATATATAATATATATATATATATATATATATATATATATATATATATATATATATATATATGGGGGTGGGGGGTGTTATTGTGGCCTTACTGCACTGTAAAGAAATATGTGCCAATAAATAATAAATGTCTTCATCACTGCCGAAAAAAAACTTGCCACGTTTAGTTTTCCAGGCACCGTTACTTTTCATCCTCCTGATTTTGTTATTTTCAGAAATCGGTTATAACACCTATCTTCTAATATATCCTATAGGCTCCCAAACTTTTCGTTAGGACCGGGGTTACCGGCTTTTCAAACTGGTCACCAGTTGTAGCGGCTCGGGTCCACCAGGTCTCGTTATATACGTAGCTGCCACCGTACTCATGTTTGTCTACATTGCATGGATGAAGGCGCATCCACAGGGAGATATATATAGGGGTTTAATTACAGAGACTGCAAGGAAGAGAAATCAAGAAGAGGGCTACATTATGACAACTTCGTGTCCAAAAGCTCCACGTCGAAAAGCTCCTGCAGTTGCCCGCGAGGACTCTATTATAAAAGTAATGAGTGATTCTTGAGAAGAGAAAAAAAGGCACCTAATTTCTGTCTGCTTCATGGGTGACACGGCGCAGTGCCTTGTAGGAAAAGGGAGAAGGTGTGATAAAAAGAAATGTCAAAAGATGTAAATAAAGAAGTAGGACAGGCAAGCTACAGAAAAAGAAGGAGATAGGAAAGATGGGAGCCGATTGTTAGAAGTCCGAGGACGGGGCATCACATGGCAAGAGCTGCACGGCCACAGGAGGTCGCGGAGGGCGAACGTGGCATCGGAGATCGCAGGTGTAACAACCGTTCAGATTGAAATCCTCTGAGTAACTCCTTATAAACGTCACATTTTCGCCACAAGGGCGAAGCAATGAAAGTGATGGCAACGTATTCGAATGTCTTACGAATCAAGGCTATAGCATCTGATCTCACGTAACTCTACAAAACGTCGGTGTAAATGCGCGTTTGTGTGTATGTACCTGTTCTCGGAGGATTTCAAGCTGGACTGTCGTGCCCTCGCGATCTCCGATGCCAGCGTAACTCCCGCCGACTGGTTCGCCCTCCGCGGTCTCCTGACAGCGTGCAGCTCTTGCATTGTGGTGCCCCGCCCTTGGACTGCTTCGACCGGATCCCTACTTTGCTATCTCCTTCTATTTTCCGTCGCTTGCCTCTCTATTTCTTCATCTATTTCCTTCTGTTCTTTTTATCCCTCCTTCCCCCTACCCCTATAAGGCACTGCGCCGTGTCGCCTGAAGGCAGACAGAAATTAGGTGCCTTCTCCTTTTCCTTACGAACCACTCACACTCACCTGTCCTACTTGCTTGATGTAGAGTCGGGATGAGCGTTTTACACTACCAGTGCGTCTGTCGCATGTCGCTCGCGTGTGCGAGTGTTGCGTGCGTCCGCATGGCGGGCACATGTCGCTGGCGTACGCATAGGGATATACATGGGTTTCACGTGACGTCATTTCCGGCTGGCAAAGTGAGCGACCGCCATGTTTGTCAACACTGAGTCAGGCTAGTCAGGCTGCGCATGCAGCTTACCGCTGGGTGGGACTTCGTCGACGTCATTCGTGTGATGCGGCGAAAGAAAACATGCACGCGCTTTGCCCGTCGTACTTCGAAGAGCTTGTTGGACTGACTTGTGTACGTTACCGAGTGAAAATCGAAATGTGCTATCACATATTGACCCGTACAAACTGGGAATCGGTAAAGATGATACACTGACCTGCTGCCTTCCGTGACACATGGCGACATCCTCAACTAGTGGTGCTTTCGACAAGTCACGTCAAGCTAAGGAAGGTCTGCAACTCGCTGGATGGCTACAACTACTACACCATGCAGTGGATGGGTGAAGAGCATAGCAGCAAAGCAGCTTACATCACAACGTGTCGTCGTTCTAGTGGAGGATAGTTACTATGCTCTTTCCCGTAAAACATCGGCTTCGATGTGATTGTGTACAGGGGGGGGGGGGGGTGCAAACCCGTGTTGCATCGTGGTGGGGGAAATTTTGGTGTTTGGGAGGTGCCAATGCCCCTTTTGCAGGCTGCTGCCTACACCAATGTTCCGACGTCACGGCAGTTGTGCTCGTTTCGGTGGTTTTTGCAATTCTTGGTTTATTTTCACCTCGTGAGCAACGGTTTTGTGGGGTCTACTGCTGATGGCTCATCATGCTCTGGTTCTGCGTCTGTGCATGGCGGGCAATTCGAGCGATGTTCCCGCTTCCGTGGACGGTGCGCCCGCTTCGACATTCAGCGTGTTCTTCTGTCGCTTTTTATAGTGGTGAGAACGCGCTGATGCTTCGGCAGTAGTCGGGTCATAACGGCCGTAACCAAGCAACTAGTAAGCTCGGTGCTCAGTCGCGATTCGCGTCGTCCATTCAATTTAAGCTGTTGACCTCATTAAACAACACGAGACGCGACTACTCAAGTAGAAAAGGTCGGCTCTACATCTCTGTGAATCTAGGTGGCATTCCGGAGAAAGCAACGCGATCACGTAAGTTAACGTGGCCAACTTGGACATAACTGGAAAATACCCCTATCTGTGATGAACTGATGCCTGCAGTCACGGGTTGGGATTTAACGTCCCAAAGTCACTATACGATTAGGGGAGACGCCGTAGTGAAGGGCTCTTGAAATTTTGAATACCTGCGGTTCTTTAACGTGCGCCTAAGGCACGGGCCTCAAGCATTTTCGCCTCCACCGAAAATGCGGCCGGAATTCGATTCCGTGACCTCAGGTAAGCAGCCGAGTACCTTATCCACTAGACAGCCATGGTGTGTATTATTCTGCATCCAAAAACGGCACAAATAGTCAATGTGAAGCCAGTTGAGCGACCGAAGACCAGATTTCGCCACCGCAAAGCTCCCGCTTCCAGGAAGCTGCTTATGTTGACAAACATGGGGTTTTCGGTCCTCTCGCTCCCGAATGTGACGTACGTGCAACCCATGTATAAAACGTGACGCTTGGCGAGGTTTCAGTGCTTGTGTGGTTGTAATAAGGAGGAGGAGGATTGAAGGAGGAAGGGCAGGGAGGTTATAGCCTAGCGCCTGCGGGGTTTCAAGCTTGGGATGTGGGGGCGGAAAAAAATGTGGTGTTCAAGGTAAAAGTCTTTTGTGATGTCGTTGTACGTAACGCACGCATCCCGATTGGTAGATCTGGTTGCCCTGAACAACGCTACTAACCTAATCTATAGTAACGTTGGCCATGGTGGCACGGTCGGTAAGCGCGCGCGCAGCGTCTTTGGCGATCTATATAGTTGAGGCTGGGTGACAATGTGGTGCTGTGGTGACAATGTGGTGACAACCAGATGAGTATGTGGTGCTTTAGGATACCCCGGTCAGCGCTGCGGAGGTTGCGAATGCCTGGTTGGAGACGACGCCACGTGCGAAAGCTTTGATCGCCGGTCACGAGTCGCTGTATAGATGACCTCACATTTGCTGTCAAGAACACCTTATAGGCATACTTGTTCCGCTACTTCGGCGTTTAGGGTGAGGACTGAGGCGCAGTTATGGATTCGCTGCGCGGATGAGGTCACGACCGCGGCCTTGAAGCTCCTTTTCTGGGCTACATCAATAGGACCATCTGCATCAGCGAAATTATTGCACACAAAAGAAGAATTACACCTTATTCTCAATCAAAACGTACTACTTTGGTCTTCTTCTCAATACCTGATTGCATTACTTATTATAGTTTTATTGTTATTTTCATGGTACGCAAACTTATCACTCTATAATTTTTGTGTGATCAGTTCATTTTTTTTTGTCTATATGTAAGCTTTTTTTTCTTATAGTAACTGCCATTTTCATGACCAATCACCCTTAGTTAGTACGAGCCAAAATCAGAGGATCAGTCAAGTCAAGTCAAGATCCTTGACGATGTGGCGCATACCCTAGCTGGAGGATTGGCCAAGAACCGGATAGTTTTCTTGGCCAATTAGGCAAGCAAGCGAATACGCTGCCACAAAGACGAGGAAGTTGAGCTCGAGCGCCGCGCGGAACGAGAATCCTTCCGCCGGAATTCGAGCGCAAGCCGTCTCGGCTGTCCGAGGGTCGTAAGGTTCGTCTTCGCCGCCATGGCCAAAGCAGCGAAGGCCTTCGTCGACGAGACCCTGAGCGAGAACCCGGTGGTGATATTCTCCAAGAGCTACTGCCCCTTCTGCAAGAAGGCCAAGCAGATCTTCGACGGGCTTGGCGTCTCCTACGAGGCCGTGGAGCTGGACAGCCGGAAGGACGGCACCGACATCCAGAAGGTGCTCACCGACATGACCGGCGCCAGCACGGTGCCCAGGGTGTTCGTCAAGAAGGAGTGCCTCGGTGGTGCCTCGGACCTCGAGGACATGAATCGCAACAACAAGCTCAAGCCGCTGCTCAAGTCCCACGGGCTGCTCAAGTAAATGGCCGCCATATTGTAACTCGCTGCTGCCGCCCAGTACACGGCAAAATTTCAACCTGGTCGCGTGATGATTCATGCCCAGCATAAAACATCAGCCCACGCTTCGGCACATGATGGAGGAAGCGAGCATGCGAAATAAAATTTTGGTTTTGATACGCTGTCGGAGTGATTGAATTGTTGATGTACTGATTCTCGAGCACATGGCTGGTTTGAAGAGCCGCACTCATTCCTATGCCGCAGCTTTGCACGAGCATGTTCCTTATAGTTTTGCGTAGCTGCGCTAACCCACACAACCACTCAGGCTGCTCATTTGGCACAAACTTCGCGTTCCGCTATAATGCTGTCTAAGCTGTAGCGAATACGTGTGCACCCCCCCCCCCGCCTGCCCAAGAACCACCAGACTTAAAAGAAAAGCGGATCACTGTCGTTGCGCTTTTCCAGAAAGCTAGCTGGAAAAACTCTGAGCTTTTTTTTTACACTATTCGGGTACAACTGCTACACGCACACTTGCATAGCCACTACGCCATAAATCACAATTATTGTTGGTTGGTTGGTTCCTCAACAACTTGGCGCAACCCACTTAAGGGAATAGGCCATGAATGGGACGGTGCCCCTCTTTTTAAATTAATTCACACCATTTTTGTGTTGTAGGGAGGCACTATGCCATTCTTCGTCATTCTTCGGAAAAGCGTGGTACCAAAGACTTTGTGCCATTTTTTTTTATTGTGTGGCTGACGACGATGAAGAATTATGCCTAGCGCTATTGTAATGCGTTGTACAATTCGACGACCCAATCGTTCCGTAATTCGCATTGTGTAACGCCTGGAGGTGGGTTAGCGTTTCTAAAGCGCTTTATTACACACATTAATGTGTTTCCTTTTCCGACACGAAGCCTGCCTATGGTCAGTTTACAACGGAGTTGTAAACAACACCGGCGCACTCAGTGGTAGAATACTAGGCTGGCAAGCAGCTGACCCGTCTTCAAATGCCTTTGTGTGTGGTGTTTATTTAGTGTTTTTTTTTCATTTTGCGCGTTAGAGATTACGGACACCAGCGGCGACGGACGACTATATGGCACACGTGACCCTTATTGTGATATCATAACAGCTTTCGCTGTAAAAAAAAAAAAACATTGTTGCCGAGGCAGTGACGTGAGCCTTTGTGCCCCGTGTAACATTCAAGGAAAGAGATGCTTTTTTCTTTCCATTGAAAGGATTTATACATGGCTTGCAAGTACGTCCCACCGCGGAACTCTGGGATACAGTCTCGGCATATGTGCCGCCATCAACGATCACATGCTTGGCAGCAGACGACAGCGAATCGAGCTGTGCGGCTCTCGGATTTTCTCGTCAATGCCATGCGTCACAATGGCGATTTGTACGATATTTGACTGCCGCACTAAAATAAAACTGTAACGGAGATAAAAATTGGGCAGATCTCACGTACATACCTTGGGAATCGACGCTATGCGGAGCGTGCGGATTGAAGGCGACTGTGTTTTAATTTCTTTTTTGAGTGGTACATTACGAGGTGGCGCTAAAGATATGTACGAATTCATGCGCAGACATACGTTAAACAGCTAGCCGCATGTGTTTTATATAACCAGCTGTTAACAGTTGCGTAAAGATGCCAACAGCAACACGGATATTAGCAACACCAGAAGTGGTATACGATGATATGAAGCACCATGGGTGCTCGCGAACCTGACCAGCGCCTCCTCGCGCTGACCTGACATGACGAATGTGTCATAGGAGTGCTACATATTACAGCAGAAGCTGTTATGAGATCGCAACTAAGGTCACGCGCCACCGTAGTTGTCCACTGCCTCCGTAACCACATCGCACGCAATTAGAAAAAAAAAACCTAGCGCCAATGACACTGTGTAGCTCGAACTCGGGTTCGCTGGTGCCAGCCCATGTATTATACCACTGTTTTACCACTGAACTAGGCCGGTGCTTGGGGTTTTTCGACAATCTTGCCTTAGGCAGGTTTGATGTCGGGAAAGCAATGGCGTTAATACGACTCATAAAGCGTTTTAAGACAGCGAATTAACGGCCAGTCGTCGCATAATGCGAATAGCGTAATGAGTGGGTCGTCCGATGCTCCAAATCATTACAAAAGCTTGTCCTTGTTCAGCTATTAACCGTGGCACATACCCACTTCAGCCATGATTCTTCATCGTCGTCAGCCACTGCATGAACAATTGGCACGAAATTCCAAACACGTGTTTAGCGGATACCACACTTCTCAGAAAAATGACGAAAAATAGCATAGCGAATGCCGGCCTACTACCCAAAACTTTTCATTATTAATGTGGTAGTGGGTATCAAGCAAGTGTGCTTGCAGCAGTTACCCAATGAGTGTTTAGAAGAGACTCTGAAAGGCTGCTCTTATAGCTTTCGCTGTGACTGTGCTGCGCCTTCCGCGCAGGCATGGCGTCATGTTTGTTTCAGTTTGTCTGAATATGGTTTATGCCCACGAAAACTGTCAGCGATTTTCGGCGCAGATCGTGCTTCAGTGTTCGAGAAGCTTCACGATCGTAGTAGATCATTTTGATAAGATTACGCGCGAGACACGAACATTGAAGCTTGATTCACAGATTACCTGACCACCATTGATAAGGTGGAAAAGTTCGACGCGTGTTGTAAAAGAAGGCGCATCCCATCGGTGATCAGTTGATCAACGGTCGAGCGCTCTTTTTCGCCGCCAGCAGTGCCAGTGTGACAATAAAGATACACTACGGAGGAAATAAAATACGGGTTCTCTCACCGTAGTAAATTATTCCTTCACAATCCCAACATGTGAAAGGACGCTTGAGACAAGACGTGCAAAAAAAATGGCAGCATATCCACGGAGTGAATGATAGAGAGTGGGGCGAAGCATTCGTCCGTCCATGCGTCCGTCTGTGTGACCGTCCATGCGTCTGTTCGTGCGCCCGTCCCTGCGTTCGTTCATGCATCCGCCCCTGCGTCCTTTCATGCGTCCATCCGTGCATCTGTCTGTGTGTCCGTTCGTCCATCTATTCAACACTCAAAGTCCCACCATCTCGCATCTTTTTATCATATATTCCCCATATAGAAGCACCGCCATTCAGTGGACATTCCAAGGACTAAGCGAGAGGTGGCACACGCACACTTTCTTACGGCTTGCGCTTCGGGGCTACTTCCCACCTTTAACCACCTCGAGTTCATGGTATATACTAGTTCACTGTATTCATGGCACTGCGGCCCAATGCTCGCTAAACCTTTCTAAAACCAAGGAGGTTACGCCCAGCGAGTATAACGTAGCAACCTTTTCCTGTCAGATAGTGCTCAATGTACATGCCAATGGCTGCTAATGGGAATCGCAGCGTGCGCGTTGACTAGAAGCCGAATGCTCCTGTCTCTGATTCCCCATTAGCAGCCATTGGCATGTACATTGAGCACTACTTTTTATTGTTAAACAACGCACAGAAGAAATCTCTCACCGGCACCACCTTGGAGGTCAAATGTTATACCCATTTCGTGTATGTGCGACTAGTGGTAACGTACTACGAGGGACGCACAAGTCACGCCATAAGGAGCTTTGCCCCTAAAATTAGGGGACCCTAAAGCTTCGCCTTTAGGAGTTGAAAGCGATGCGGCCATTTGTTCCTATAGCGCGTATTTTAAGCGCTTAGTGCATGAAACCTTTTCGAATTTTCGCTATTGTTATGCCTGCGAGTCCGCAGCGAACGTCCATGCCTCGGAAAAAGGAAATCTGTGTCAAGGCCAGGACGCGAGCCCGCCTGACGCGATGAACAACTCAACGGCGTCAACACGCGACGGCGCCTTTCTGTCCCGCACGTGCAGTGAGTCACCTCAGCAAGCGAGCCCGTCGAGCAAGCAATCGGCGCCTTCCTGTCTGGCGGGTGACGCAATGCCTGGCGACGCCTGGCGACGTCCTTGGGTGCAGCCACCTGCAGCGCAGCCTCTCCAGATTCGATGAGAAAGAATGACGCGGCCCAGCGGCGACCCCCATTGGAGGAGTCTGACCTCACGACCAGCGGCGCCTCTGGTTGGATATTTGGGTTGGACCCGGTGCATATAAAAGAAGCCCTGCGGCACATCGAGAGCAGACCCATTTGAGAGCAGACCTATGTGTTAGAGAGGAGAGCTCGGCTCTTCGGGTCTCTAAGCTGTCGGCTCCAGTGCCGAATTTGTAACACCCTGTATATATGTTGTACATAAACCTTGTTTAACTCACCGTCGTCTCGTCCGCTCGTCTATCAGCTCTGCGCAGAAGCAGTCGCGAGCTGAGAAACCTACGCTACCAAACGGCTGGTGACCTTCCCGGTGGAATTCGAAGCAGTGGCGCCTTCGGGACCGTGTTGGCGTCGCCGTATTTCGAAGCAGTGGTTGCAGCGGTGAAATTTCGAGGCGCCCTTCGTAACGTCGTCGGAGGCGCGCTTTGCAACACTATGCACCCACTATACATGGCCTTAAGGAAATGGGCACTGCAGCGTGTGTGGCTTTTGTAGTGAATTATCGGCTTTCAACCACGGATTTATTATCATAATCATATATTCTGACGCCCGTTGGTAATGGGTGCACGTATCATGCATGCAATATTTGATGTTGCATCGCGAAGCATGTATCGATTGATTTGTGGGGTTTAACGTCCCAAAACCACCATATGATTATGAGAGACGCCGTAGTGGAGGTCTCCGGAAATTCGACCACCTGGGGTTCTTTAACGTGCACCCAAATCTGAGCACACGGGCCTATACAACATTTCTGCAGCTCCATCAGAGATTCAGCCGCCACAGCCGGGATTTGATCCCGCGACCTGCGGGCCAGCAGCCGAGTACCTTAGCCACAAACCACCGCGGCGGGGCGTGAAGCGTGTATAGGACGCGCGTGTTTGTGAGGCATTAAAGCTACTTTCACTGCATTTCCAATCAGAGGAAGTTCTTTTCACTGTTTTCACAAGCAGAGGCGTGGCCATGTTGTGGATCGCACGCAAACGACTTGGGTGTGATAC